GCCACCGACTGCCCCTTTCCCCTTCCCGAGCACTCCTCTTACTCCCATGGGCATGGCTTCCCGAGCCACGCCGCAGCCTGTGGCAGACCACAGAAAAGCAAGTCCCAGCCCACAGTGACACACCTCTGCAATGGTTTTTTTTCCTGAGAGCTCGTCTTTTTCCTCCCACGGAGGCTCGAGATATTTACTGGCCTTATAACCTTGGGTGAGCACGTTCCCCACCTGGCCCTCAGGTTTCTCTGTGAAGTCGGGACCAAGATCCGCTCCCTTCAGTGGTGCTCATAAGGGATTAAGTGAGATGGTTCAGGTTCTTACCTTTCCTCTGGTCTCCTTTGAATAATAACTTCTAAATTCTCCTCTGAAGAATAACTTATTCTATTTGTAGAAGCCCCCTAGCCATGCCGTTTTGGTATTGACCACAGTTTTTGTTTTTGTTTTTTTAGAGGTTATTTTTAGAGAGAGAGACAGAGAGAGGGACAGTGAGAAATCGCCTTGCACGGGGGATGGCCACGCTGCAATCCCTCCTCCATTCTCCTCTCAGGGTCTTGGGCATTCATGCATATGCCCCTGATGTGATTTTCAAGCCACTGTGTCCGGGACTTGAACCACGATGGGCCATGTGGGAGTCCATCAATGTAACCACTACTCCATCTGCTGGTCTAAACCACAGGAGGCTTTTAAGAACAGAACTTCATGTGCTGTGTGCAGGCCTAAAGTTTTTGCCCTGTTATCCTGATGCCTATGTTTGCCCAGTTGCCGTTCAGTTGGAAAATCAAACTCTTCGCCAGCAGGACTGAGCGGTCTTAAATCTCTCTGTCGTGGCCAGAATAGTTTGTCCCATCCTAATTTGGAGTGACGTCTGAGAAGACCTGACCGAATGAATAAAAATTCAAGTTATTTTTCAATTACAAACTTACTTTCCAACGCAGTAAGAACTGGCTTAGGAGACTGTGACTTCCTCCAGCTCTTCAGGGAGGTGTTAAGTAAGCAGGAAGACGGTTCGGGACTGCTCAGTGAGCTCCGTGTTGGTGGCTCCCTGTACGAGCATGCGTGATTCTCTCTGAGAAGTGATACCTCACCCCTGCCGGACTTCATGTGTTAAAAACAGCTCGTGCTCCTAAGCAGTTTTAACAGCCAGCAGAAATCCTGTTGACTGCTCATGTGCTCAGCAAAGCCTTTTTAAAGCTCTTACAGGCTCAGCTTTCATCCAGCCTCTATGGGAGTGCTGTAAGTTAGGGACACCCACCACTGGTGAGGAGTGCTTACCTCACTTCCACTGCGCTGCGCTCTCTAGGACAGTGAGCACCGTCGGCGTTTCTGACACGGTGTTTATGTCATCACTTTGTTTTTGTCATTTAACTTGAGGCACCTGTTTTTTTTTAAAAAAAGAATTATTTTATTTACTTTTTATTTTATTTTATTTGTTTATATTTATTTAAATTTGACCAGAGAGGGACAGAATGAGAGAGAGAGAGAGGGAAAGTGAGAAAGCAAGTCATCCAGTCTGGAACTTGAACCACAGTTGGCCACGTGGGAGTCCAGCGCCCTTACCCACCACACCACCTGCCGGCCCCAGAGGCACCTGATTTTAATTGTGTCCTGCTTTACTTATTAATTTTTTATGAGAAAATACATCATTTTAAAGGGAAATTTCTTTCTTTTTTTTTTTTTAAACATACACTCCCTCTGCTGGAAAACGTGTAGGACTAGATGTTCACAGACCTGGGCTGGATTCTGGTGTGGCCTCTAACAAGCTGTGTTAATTTCTTTGATATTCTTTTTCATTATTTTTGAATCATTCTCCATTTTCCAGCCTCTCAGATTGAGTTTGCAAAGCTGGGGAGGGGTGTGTAAAGACAGAAAGCAGAAACGTTTTAAACAAAAGCTTGTCAGCAAAGCGTCTTCAGTGGAGGAGATGGAAATCGAAGGCAGGCGTGTGAGCATCCCAGAGGCTCTGTAACGGCACGTGCAGAAAGACAGAGCAAGAAAGCAGAAACTTTGCGAGGGCCATTTTGTTCAGCTCACTGCCGTTTGGATCATGTCAGACTGTAGGCAGGACACCCGGCACCTGCATGGCGGCCGCAGGGGCCTGCCAAGAGATATTTGGTCTCTGCTCACTCCTTCGCAAGACTTCCGTCCAGACAGCCAGGATGAGGAGGACAGAGGGCCGGCAGCAATGTACTGGGTACATCTCCACCAGATTCTAACAGGGAAGATTCCGCGGCATCACTCACAGTGGCCAAGAGATGGAGACAACCAGTGGCCGACCATGGTGAACGCAAAATCTGGCATAAACACGCAATGGAGTATTACTCAGCCGGGAAAAGGAAAACCCTGAAAACATCAGACATCGTGAAAGAAGTCAGTCACAGAAAAACAAACAACATCTGCATGATTCCATTTGCAGTAACCCCCACCCACCCCGTGCTCACGAGGAATATACTCTGAGACCCCCAGCGGATGCCTGAACCAAGACAAAATAGCAAACCCTATCAATACCAGGATTTTTCTTAGACACACACCACCTTTGATTAAAGTTCATTTATAAATTAGACATGTCAGCTACTGGTGACCGGGAGGAGAGAGGAGGACAGCACAGGGCAGCAGGGTTGTGTGAAGGAGAGTCTCCTCTCAAGGAGTAAACCAGACTGTGAGAGTGACCCCTGGGTGCGGGAGGACTACGGTACATGAGGAAATTTCCAGAACAGGCGAGTCCGCAGAGTTGGGGGGTAAATTAGTGGTGCCAGCGCTGGAGGGGAGGTGGGGGTAGTGTGATTTTTTTTTCGGGGTGGTGAAATTTTTTGAAGTGATGGGTCATGTTTGTACAGTTCTGTGAATGTACGAAAACCACCAAATTGTACACTTTGAGAGAGTGAATTGTAAGGTGTGTGCATTGTATCTCTACAAAATTGTTATGAGAAAGGAGAAGAGACAGGGAGAGACCCAGGGACCAAGGGAGAGTCTCAGGAAGAGCAGTAAGTGTATTAGGAGGCTCTGGCTGTGGAAACAGGTGTCAGGATGTGTTCAAATCAACATTTCTGTTCATAGAAATTCCGTTTCTGGGTGCTAGGGCCTGCCTCGTGTCGAGCTCTATACTGGGCATTCGTGTTAGCTTTTATCACCAGTTAAAGGAGTAGAACTTTGATTTCGGAGAAACAAGTGGCTCCCTGGTCTACACTCGCCAGCTTCACTCTGCATGTGCGTGTGTTTTCAAAGACCTTAATCTAAACTCCCTGTCGGCACCTCCCACGTGTAAGGAACCGTGGCTGCTGGAAAGCATTCGGGTTCGAGTGCGTGACCAGCTTTAGTTCCTGGGCTAGTGCGCTGACTTCCGGGACCTCCGTTTCTGCATGTAAATATTACGGAGTGAGATGAATTCCTGGCTTCCTTTCCAGCTCGTCATACCCCATGATTCCAGGATTCTTTTTAGGTCTTCTTTCTTCCCTGCATCTCCCCCAGAAAATTCCTCCCAGACATCTCCTGGCTCACACTTGCCTGAAGAAAACTTTTTTTGTTATATAACTGGATATTTCGCACACTGGTATTTCTTCAAGTGGGGGCATCCTTAAAACAAGATGTTCCTGACTCCTTACGCTGCCCCAGGTGCTTCTGAAGAGCCTAGCAACCCCATGCAGGGCCGACCTCGCCGCCCTGGGTTTATGTAACCTGGTTACACAATCGCGGTAAAGTTCAGGTTAAAGTGTGAAGTGTCTTGACTTTTGCCTTGCGTCCGGGATCTGCCCCAGGACCTATTTATTACCTTGTTTCTCTTCTTGCTGTCTGTTTATCTCCTGTTCTTATTCAAAGGGACCTGAAAACATTAAGTACAGCACTTGGCTTGATTAAACCTGCTCTGTGACCAACAGGCTGCGGGCTTGGGGCTGCAGCTAAGTCTGTTTTTCCTTGCGAGGCTGACACGGGCTCTCATGGGCGTGGACACAGGGAGGTTAAGGGCTGACTGCCGGCACAGGAGTGGTGTTACAGAGAAGGGTAGGAAGGAATCACAAGACCAGGGAGGAAGCCGAGTAATACAGTAAGCGCAGGATGGTGGGTTACCAGGCAGACAGTGGGCTAATGCGAAGTGACAAGTGAGTGCAGCAGGGAGGCGAGAATGGGAGAGTGGGCGAGCTGGAAAAATAAAGAAGCGATGATAAAAGCCAACACAGAGGGGGAGCGCAGAGGAGTCTGTCACTTGTCTTAGGAGAAATTAAGAAGCCAGACAAATTACAAGTGCACTTCATTTGGAAACACGCTCAGACAGTCTGAGATTGCTACTGCCGAGTGGGGGCGATGGGTGCTGTTGGGTCCCACGAGTGGTTTGCCCTGACCCTGCGTGGGGACAGGCGGGACTTGCCAAAGTTTGCAGGTGTCAGTGAAGCGTGGGATGAAGGTGCTGTTTGGGGTTTTGCTGGGTCTCTTGGCTTCTGTTTGGAGAAGAGCAGAGAATGGCAGCAGATTTGTGGGGCCCTTGCTGACATGGGTGAGCTCACTCAGCTCAGGCAACCCTCGCCGTGGCCCTGCGCCGCAGGTGCAGGGAAAGGACAGAGGGCCTCCCCATCAGAGTCCTCACACTACGACCCACCCAGCTCGGCCAGCCCGGGTCACAGCATGCGTGTGCACCAGGACCCTCCGTGTGGCTCAGGACCGCAGCCATGTGTTCCACTGCTCCGCCATCCGACCAGTGGTGCTTCCCCTGTCCCTTAGCTTCAGACAGGGAAACCAAGGCAGCAACCTGCCCGTGATGGCAGCAAGAACTCCTGCTCCCGCCATCCCTGCCACCTCTCCCGCAGGGTCCCTTCTGCAGCCCCTGCCTAAATGGCCAACATACCTCTCCTGCAAAGGCCAGTGGGTAGTCACAGCCATGGGGGTTCCAGAGACCACCTGGAGCTGGACAATACTGATTTCATTTGTCCTGTTACCGAAAAGGAAACTGGTGGGTCACCCTGAACATTCTCCTCTTCGGTACTTGCCGATAGTGGCTTTCTCCTCTCTGTTGGCAGTGGCCCCTTCGGACCCTCAATGGAAATAGCTTATTGCCCACCAAAGCCTCCAGGATGCGTCGTGGGAACAGCTGCACGAAGAACCGCCACACGGATGCCACAGTGCCTCCCAGCCCTGGTGGGTTTGGCAAAGACGCAAAGTTCAGATGAGCTTCAAGTCCACAGAAGGCTTAGCTCTAGGACTGGGGCAAGGCTAGGGCCTAGAGAGGGGTCCTTCTCCCAGATCTGCTCTCGAGCCTATGCTGAGTCACGTTACAACGCACAGGCAAAGTGGCTTCTGCAGGTGGAGGAGGCTAATTGTCCTTCTAGAAAGTTCTCTCTAGTTCTCCACTGTCATGACCAGATGAAGAAGATAGAAGCCCAAGAACATGCACACTCAGTGTGGGTGTCCGGGCTGCAGAGCTGGGAGGACCTGCTCGGAGTCCAGCTCTGGCCTATTTGCTGTGGAGCAAGACCTTAGGGAACGCCATGACCGAGCAGTTTCCGGCAAGTCCCCTCTAGAAGAAGCACCCATGGAAAGAGGGCTCCGGCGCCATGTCTGGGCCGGCTCTTCCTCCATGAGGGCCATAGGATGCATCGTTTGTTTTCAGAGTGTAATTTCATTATCTCATAATGCAAAAAAAAAAAAAAAAGGGTAAGATAAATTCCCTATTATTTTATAATAACCGTGCTACAATGACATTTTACTGCAAGTGATGAATACGTAATCGCCTTTCTTACATATTAGCATATTATAATTTACTGCCACAAATATTGCCCCTTTTTTCCTCTAATTTTATACTTTTGATATTGAAGAGCTTTTCAGTGTTTTCTAAAGTGGCTCTCTCAGGCTTCTATTTTCGATTTTCTGCAAAAGCCCGTGTTTCTGCCATTTCTCTCAGATGGTTGATCGCCCTGGAGGGTTTTACGGGCAAATGAGGAGACTAATCGGTGACGTCTGAGGAGGGTCGCACCAGCCGGAATGTTTGGGTGCTCAACGGGTACCTGGCGAGTGGGGACTCTCTGATGACCAAGATGAACTGAAGCCCCGAGCTCCTCCTTCCTGACTCCTAAGAGTTTTACTGGCACGGTTATGTAAACGACCCGTGCAGGAGGGAAATGACTCTTTAATTAGAAAATGGACGTGAATCGCTGATAAGTGCTCCTGCTCCGTGCCCTCCTGGTGAGGTGAGCCCTGGCGGGGCGCACCTGGGCAGGAGATGCAGCCAGGAGGGACCATGCTGGCTGAAGGAGGACGCCTTTCCTGCAGGCAGGGCTCCCCCTCGGTGCCCTCTGCTGACTCAAAAGTGCGGAGCCTCCCACGGGCACTCTGTCATCTGGAGGGCCACTCCCCAGGGTGTGGCATTGCTGGCACTCGTCCACTCTCCGCCAGTAGAGTCACTCCCTGACTCTGGGACAACCAGAAATCTCCCACACACTTCCAAAGGCAACTTGTGGCAGCTGGTGGGGAGGGGTCTGCCCCAGGCCGGACTGTGCTCAGATGTGGTTCTGCCAAGTTCTAGAAAATGCTCTGTGCACCGGCAGCAAACATCCGTTTGTCTCTTGTGTACTGATCCCATGGCTAATAGACCATCAGTCCAAGTCACTAAGCCTGGCAAGGATTCATTTAGAATTCAACATTTATAAAAATAACTTTATTAAACAAAAAATTGATTTTCAAATTTTGAATTATTGTTGAAATAGAGTCTGGGATCTCAGGAGGGAGAGAGGCGCAGCACACCTAAGGTCCAGGGTCTTGGGAGGGAGGGAGAGAGGGTCTGAGGTCTCACGTAGCACACCGTGCAAATTCACCCTGAACCATCTGGTGGTCTGCTTCGAGGTCAGACCAGACAGAGCAGCAGCCAGAGGCCCAGCCCCGACAAGGTCTCTGGGGCCACCTCCCAGTGCACCGGGGGACACGTTTGCCTGGCCGATTTTCCAGCCCTGGGTGATGACCTACAGCTTTTCCCATCCCAGGGCCCCGATGCTGCGCAGTCCGGGAGTGGATCTCTCTCAGAGGGCGGCTCAGGTGAACCACTGTGCGACTGAGTCCAGAACAGGGAGCCACGTGCTGACTGGCGGCAACACCAGGCTGGGCCGGCACCGGGAGCTCCTGGGCACTACGTCCCGCACGGCCTAAGGAAGCAGGTAAGCCTGGGGTGCTCAAGGCCAGAGGCTCCAGCAGAGGCTTTGGCTAGCAAGGCCGAAGGTGCTTGCTTGTTCCACAAGCACGTCTGAGTGCTCGCTCTGGTCTGGCAGTGTTTTCAGGGCGGGGAGTAGCTTGACAGACAGTTCTGTGCCCAGCACGGAGCTCAGGGCTAGTCGTGCATTCCGAAGCTTAACCTGGAGAGAAGCAAAGAAGCCAGTGTCCAGCAGCAATAAATGCCAGGAAGGAAATGCAAGAAGGGACGGGGTGTCGGCATGCTGGGAAAGGCTGGAATCTGAACGGCAGGAGGACCAGCGTGCACGAGCCAGGCCGAGGGCTCCGGGCAGAGGTACGGCTGGTGCAAAGCCTCCGTTGGGGACAAAGGTGGCTCCGGACGTGATCAGGTCTCACTCATAAAAAGAAGGCTGACTTTGAAGTTCTAGGGAGCCCCTCGTGGTTCCTGGGGACTGACCATAATCTGATGCAGAGGGTGGGGTCAGCAAATGGAAAAGTTTAAAAACGATGGACTGAACATTCCAGAATTCTGCTTGGTCCGTGGACCTTCCCGCCCCTCAGACAGCATGGTGTCTGGCCTATAGCCTGCCCTTGGATATGTCAGTAAACAATGCCCAGGCTCCGTGCAAGTGGGCTGGGCAGCAGGGCCGGACCTGCAGCAGAGAGCGCTGAGGACGGAGGGCGAGAGTCGCAGCCGGAGCCACGGGTCGCGGCTCTGCTCGCCACACCGACCCACGCGGGCCTCCATTCCCCTGGAGAGTTCGATTTCGTCTCCAAGTTAAACTTTTTTTTGGGTAAGGAACAACACGTGTCACATGAAACTTTTTTTTTGACGTGACAATACATGGAATAATTAGATACATAAAGAACAATGAATGC